ATATATATATATATATATATATATATATATATATATACATATATATATATATATATATATATATATATATATATATATATATATATATATATATATATATATATATATATATATATATATATATATATATATATATATATATATATATATATATATATATATATATATAGGACCGGTTCAAGGATTTTTTTGGTATATGCGATCACGGTTTTGCAACCCCTACTATAAAAAAAAGTATCCGTTAAAAGTATTTAAAAAACGTTTTTAGAGATTATATTTTTATGTGTTTTTAAATAGAAATAGAATAAGTATTGCAAACATAACTGTTTCTTAAAAACTGTTAATTTAGAAAAACTCCTTTCTTCGCTAGCCAATGATAACGTGAGCAAAAGCAAAGTTTTCAAACAAACAGTTTTGAAAATGTTGACAATGACAATGTTGTTTTGGGGAAGCTATCGTTCTATCTATCATTCGGCAACATTGGAGCTAAGATTATAATTTCACCTAACAGTTCAACAGTAAAAATAATTTTTGATCTTTCTTGGCTTGACCACAACTTCATCAGAGAACTTTAGATTGATTCAAAGACATCCCGAAGGGAAGAGTAGAAGGGTGACTAGCATCCCTACGAAATTTATTAATCGGCATATTAAACACTGGAGTTGGCAAAATTGGATCTATAGTTGGCAGTCAGCAAATGTTTCTTTAAAATCTTTTTGAGACGGCCCTGGATTGAAATTCAGTTTTTCTAAGCGCTCTGCAGATTAACAGTTTTCATCTTAAATGTTTTGCTTACTAAATTAAATTTGAACGAGACATTATACCGAGAGCAGAAGAATTTGAAATCTGTAATTTTCTTGGCAATTCCCATAACTGTACATTTTCCCTAAGAAAAAAAGTTATAAATCTCCTGAATATTGCTGAAAAAGTTAACAGCAAGAGTGCAGGAAGAAACTGCATCATTGACAACATGTTTTAGTGAATGGCTTTCACAACAATAAAAAAAGCTGTTACCCGACGAAGATGTTTAGAAAGAACAGTGTCAAATTTTGAAATGGCTTCAAAAAATTTGTTTAATTTTCCGTTGTTTTCTTTGAAAACTGTTTCACGTGTTCCACGGATAAGCTAATTCTTGAGTTCCAAAGAATTGCACCTTACAAAGTGAGGAGTTAAAACTAAAATTTTTGTTTTTAAAGAAGACTTTGTACTGTATTTTTATGCACTATATTTTTTTTAAGAAAAGGCGAAACCTTAAATAAAAATTGATGTAGTTTTACTGGTACTTGGTTGTAAATTAAAGCTTTTAAATAAACATTTAACAGGATTTAAATAAACAATTAACTCACAAACTTATTTTTTCAAAAAAATAATTAACTGCTATCCTCGATCTAGTTATTTTTTTATTGAAGTGCTGAGAATAAATGTAAAAAATCATTAGTCTAGCATATAAAGTTTGGCGCCCCTAATATGTAAACAATTCAGTAAATATACACATTATAGATGCTAAAAAATTATTATTTTTTTTAATTCAAAATTAAAAATTTTAATGATTTAAAAAAAAAAAGAAGAAAAAAAACGTATATATATATATAAATAAATAAATATATATATATATATATATATATATATATATATATTATATATATATATATATATGTATATATATATAACTATATATATATATATATATATATATATATATATATATATATATATATATATATATATATATATATATATATATATATATATATATATGTAGTTATACATTATAGTCATACATTATATATATATATATATATATATATATATATATATATATATATATATATATATATATATATATATATATATATATATATATATATATATATATATATATAGTTATACATTATAGTCATACATTATATATATATATATATATATATATATATATATATATATATATATATATATATATATATATATATATATACAGGCCCGCCGCTACCCTTTATGACGCCCGGGGTCAAAACTTATCTAGCGCCCTGTCATATTGATCTAATTCAAAAAAGTTTAGGTATTGTCCAAATACTGGCTTTTTTTTTTTTTTTAACTAAATTCACTTTTAAAGGCCGAGGGAGTAAATACAGTCAAGACGGCTTCTAAATAGTTTTATAAAAATAAAAATAAATTTGAAATAAAAGTAAAAAAGAAACATAACTTGACAAGTTACTGAACTTTATTACATTGCGAGTAACTATGAGTTTTAAATGTAATAGATATTTTATTTGCTTCATGTGAATTTGATTCTACGGGCATAATTTAAACCAAAATTTGGAATGACTTTTTGCAAGATCGTATTCAATAGATATAAATAAGACATTGGTAAGCCGGTCTTAACTTATTCTAGATCTTAATTTTATCTAGACCAAGCTTACTGAAAGATCTCTCTTTCAGCAATGGAAACGAGAACGGTGTTAAAAATACGTAACAAAATGCTTATTGATTCGAAGATAGACTCTAGACCTTTTTAATAGATTCCATTTAATAGCTTCATTAAAGTGAAATATTCTTTTTGACTGAAAAACTTGGCGTGCTTCAGAATATCCAGATGATGGACCTCTAAAATTAGTTTTTCTTCATTTACATTGTTCACATAGATTTGCGCTAAAGTTTTACATTTCTCCTCCAGGCTAGGTGGTTCAATTTTCTTCACTCAACCTACTACTATTCGATTCCGAGAACCATAGGGAGAAGAAACTGTTTGTCATTTTTTCTGCAGCTCTCTTATTTGATGGATTAAAGTATCGAGAGCGGTGTTCTTCAGCCGTTTTTCAAAACGCCTAAAAGAAAAGAAAATCAAAATTGACTTTTTTAGAAAATAAGCTTCTTTAGGTGCCTGCAAAAGTTATTGAATAATTGTTTTTAAAGAACTTTGAAAAAGTTCATACAAATTATAATTTTTAATAAACGTTTTACAAAAATTTTCTTGTATTATTATTTTTTAATGCGTTTTTCTCGTAAAAAGCAAATACGTAATAAATACGTAAAAAGCATCTAAAGGCGTTTTGAAAAACGGGTACAGTGTTAAATATGTTCACCTCAAACTACTTTTTATCGTTTTCGTAGAAATGAACTTCTTTCCTTGGTTTTCCTCTTCCTTGTCCTTTTTTAAACTAACTTTGACTAAAACCCATAACTAGCTAGACCGGAGGTAACCAAATGTCCTTCATTAATTAATTCGGGCCAAGAATATCTAAATTCATAAGATCCTCGGTAGGAACCCTCATAAGCTTCATCTCTTCATCTAAAGTAATGTTTCCTGATTGAAATGACACTCTGAAAATTGCCTAGCGCGCTTCGAACCAGAAGGTTGTCATGATAATAAACTCAAATGAATAAATCCATTTCTCCAAAGATTTTACTTCATTCAACAGATCAGCAGTTAAATCAAGTTCCTGAAGTTTCTGCAAAGAAAAAATAATTTCTCTAAGTTGCTTAACCAACGGCTTCAAAGTCTCAATCCGTGCACGCCATCGGGTTTGTGAGATCTAATGAAGAGACAAACCAGTTGTCTTGGTTAAGATTTCACATTGTATAGGGCTTCCACTAAAAAGATTGTAGAGTAACTGAATCCTGCCACAATAGTTCTTCATTTCTACAGAAGATTCAAGGGAATGAACACCAGCTAGGTTAATGTTATGAGCGCTGCATAGCATGTAGAAAGCTTAAGGATTTCTCTGAAGGATGATCGCTTTTACTCCTTTGTACCTACCAGACATGTTCGCACCGTTGTTGTACCCTTGACAGATCTTCAGATTAATGTTATTTTGATCCTAGAAATCCATAATTATTTTGGCAATATCCACAAATTTCTTTTGTTTAAGATTTTCGACCTTAAGAAAGCGCAAATTAACTACCTGTCTTTTATCAATACCATTGTAGACAAATCGGAGTATAAATGCAATTTGCTCAGTATAAGAAACGTCAGGCGTTCCGTCGACAAAAATAAAATAGTAAATTACTATATGTGCATCTTTAATGATGGCACCGTGGACGATTCTTCCGCACTTTTTTATAAATTCATTTTAGAAACTCCAAACCAAAGAATGCACAATAATTTGTTTACCTCCATGTTGACACAAGGAAACTTCTTTCTGATGTAACTAAAGGGTCTTGTTGTGTTTTGCAAGAAGCTCTAGAGTTACAAGAAAATTGCCGTTATCGCCATCATTGATAATTTTTGAAGAGTCTAAAACGACTCTTCAAAAATGATCTATATATATATATATATATATATATATATATATATATATATATATATATATATATATATATATATATATATATATATATATATATATATATATATATATATATATATATATATATATATATATATATATATATATATATATATATATATATATATATATATATATATATATATATGTATATATATTTATTTATTTGATTATATATGTTATTTTTTAACCTAGCAGCCCTTAAAAGTATTTTCCCGCAACGGTTTGAGTTAACAATTTATTTTTACGTTACGAGTTTAAAGAGTTTTTCATTAAAGCCCTGTGTATCTATTTTATAATGAAATAAAAAAAAAGTTTTCATTTTTGCGCCCCTTCTGATCCTGCGCCCAGGTAAAAAGTACCCAGTGACCCTCCCCACGCGGCGGCCCTGTATATATATATATATATATATATATATATATATATATATATATATATATATATATATATATATATATATATATATATATATATATATATATATATATATATATATATATATATATATATATATATATATATATATGTATATATATATATATATATATATATATATATATATATATATATATAATGTATGACTATAATGTATAACTATATATTAATGTATGACTATAAAAGCAGTCGATATTGGCGATGACGTTTTTTATACTTATCAAAAAAACTGTCCTGTTTGGAACAAGCTTTTCGGCTGATTTTATAATCCGCTTTGCCGTTTGTTCCATTTTTATGATCTGCCCTGCCGATCTGTACTACTCTTGCTCACTGTACCTATCCAGTATTTACAACCTTCTCATGTAATCAATATATGTTTCAATCATTATATACATTTTATGGGAGAGTTGTTACATTTTAAGGTCATTTACAAATAGTATAAGCTAATACAAAGTAAAGACCTAATATCAAAGATAATAAATTTATGTTAGTAGTTAATTTACTTGTGTGTGTTATTATATAATAAAGTTTTTTATTATATAATAAATTTTTTTTTATTGTTATATTGTGAATAATTAGTTTTTATTATCACTTTTATCTAATATTATTAATATTTGATAAAAGTGGTAATAATAATTACAATGTTTGCATAAAGTTATTGTATTCGCGGTCATATTTGTTATTATGATTAATATAACTATTTATTGAATTCATTTAACATATTATTTAATAATATTGGTGTTATTCCTAAATCATAAATAATTTTGAATTTGTTATTTAATTAGACTCACTAAAATACTCTGCAATCCATATAATATGCTTGAGCATTTTATGCTAAATGCTTTTATATATACTATATATGTATGCATAAATATATATGCATAAATAACTGTTCATACTTACAAAACAAGAACTAAAATACTAAAGATTATAAAAAATTTTGCTTTTGTTTGAAAGGAAGTTATATTTAATTAAAAGACTATATAATATAGTCTCTTAATTAAATATAATTTCCTTTCAAACAAAAGCAAAATTTTTTAGAGACTATATTATATAGTCTTTTAATTAAATATAACTTCCTTTCAAACAAAAGCAAAATTTTTTATAATCTTTAGTATTTTAGTTCTTGTTTTGTAAGTATAAACAGTTATTTACACTATATAATATAGTCTCTTAATTAAATATAATTTCCTTTCAAACAAAAGCAAATTTTTTATAATCTTCAGTATTTTAGTTCTTGTTTTGTAAGTATTAACAGTTATTTATGCATAGAAAAGTAATTGGTAATAAGTATCTTTTCACAACTTAATTGTTATGGTATTCAAGTAAAAAAGTAATGGATTTATTTTCAACACGAGTGTTAAAAAGTTTTAAAATATTAAAAATATTACAAAATCTTTTTTATTAAATTTTTCTGTTTTTATTAACTTACATTTTAAAATTTAATTTATGTTTATACACTTCAACAATTATTTGAAAATTTTAATTCATTTTAGTAGGTTTTTTTTTAATTTTGTTTCTGAAATTTAGTAATATAAAAATTATTGTAGATAAAGTGCACCATTGATCTCTATCAATAGTGCACTTTATCTACAGTAATTTTTATGTGAAAGTTTTTAAATGCATTTCTTTATTAAAGAAAGTCAATCTATATATTTTTTTATTTTTTACAAATCAACTTTGTTTTTTATTTTAGAAAATTGAAAACATTAAAAATTACAAATTTTTAAAAAAGTTGTTAATATATAAAAAAAATTTTTATAGCATACACACACGCACATACAAACACACACACACACACACATGCACACACACACATATATGTATGTATGTATGTATATAAAACTTTAATATATATATATATATATATATATATATATATATATATATATATATATATATATATATATATATATATATATATATATATATATATATATATATATATATGTTCTTTTAGACTTACTCTGAAAATGAAAGAGTTGCTATTCGTCAATATAGGAATGCAAACAGTATTACAATATTTGTTTGCAGTAAATAAATGACTTTTTTGTCCTACAAAAATTGTATATTTTAAGTCTAGACCTAAAATTAAAATGCCACTGCAAGCTCCAAGCTTTTACAGAAGAGAGGTCAAATTAAAAATCAGCTGCTTGCTCTAAGCAATCAAAAAGTGAAGCCTTTTTAATTGCTTAGTCAAGACAAGAGTATAAAATTGAGACTTCAGCAAATAGAGCCACTTTAGATGTAAAAATTTGATGAAGATTGCTATTCTAGATAAGAAACAATACAGGAGCAAAGATGGAACCGTGTGGTACCCTTAAAGTTACTCGAAAAGAGGAAGAGTGTAAGCCTTCAAGAATAATTTGAATACTGCAGTTAGAAAGAAGTGGTTTAATAATCTCAAAAACTTTATATAAAAAAACTAATAATAGAGTTAAGACTAATCATAGGATAGTTGGAGAGGTCAAAGTGTTTTCTTTAAGTTTCAAAATTTGGATTCACTTATTTAATACTTTTTAACAGTTTAGCAAAAATTGAAGAGAGTTCTGGAGAACACTTTTTTAAGACTATGATGGAAATCCTGTCTGGAGCACAAAGTGTAGAATTGTGAGAAAGTAGCAGCTTCATGAGAAAATGGTAGTGGTAGAAGTAAGAAAACTTGAAGAGAGTGCCTTACATATTGTATGAATTAGCTTTAGTTAAGAAAAGAAAATGCTTTAGATTTTTTATATTAGAGAAACAGCATAAATGATGAAGGCTAAACCCTGATGATAATAATATCATCATCTTCATCATCATCATCATCATCATCATCATCATCATCATCATCATCATCATGGTAATGATGATTATGGTGATTATGTTGATCATAATGATATTTATATATGGATATATATATATATATATATATATATATATATATATATATATATTTATATATGACTATATATATATATATTTATATATGACTATATATATTTTTATAGTTGTTGTATTTTTTAGTATGCATTTTTTATTATAAATGTCTTTAAATAAATAAATTATTTCAACTATATGAAGAAACAGTTTAATTATTTTTTCTTTTGTTTAGGTTACTGCAGAGAATTGTTAAGTATCTTTTTTATAACATTTTATTTCTTGTTGGTTTGTTTATTATTATTATTTTTTGTTATTCCCGCAAAACATACACGAGGTCAGCAGTAATAATAAAAGAATCGCTAAAAATGTCATTAAAACAAATGACACAAAACAGGCTTTAGTTTAGCATAAATAAAAGAAATTGTTTAGAAAAATAATTAAAACAAACAATAAACAACAAACTTTTAAAGTTTTAATTTAACGTAAAAAAATATAAAAAAAAAACTTTTAAAAAACAACATTTTAAAAATGGACTAAAAAGTAAAAAATAAATTATTTCATGGGAACCCAGAACTTATTGTATGTACACAACCTGAAATATCCATTAAAGTCAATGACTGAAAATGTTAGGCAACTAAGTACAACTTATTCCTATTGGCGCCCAACATTTTTAGTCATGGACTTTAATGGATATTTCAGGTTGTATACGTACACCAAGTCCTTGGTCCCATGAAATAGTTTTTTTTTTTACTTTTGAGTCCATTTTTAAAATATTGTTTTTAAAAAGTTTTTTTTTAATATTTTTTATTCAACTTTTAAATTTGAGTATTTATTAAACAATCATTAAATGTAAGTTTCTCATAATATTATATAAAAGCATTAGTAAAGATAAACAATTTAAAGTTTATAGTTAATTATTCCTAATGTAATTTAAATAATGTTATTGTTATAGTTTATTATTTATTTTAGTTAAATTTTAATTCAAGTCTTTTTGATCTTGGTGTTAGTTAAGTTATATTTTATTTTATTTTTTGTAATTTTTTTTTTACAAGGATTTATTTGTTTTTATTTAGGATTTTTTTAGTTTCTTTATAAATATACAAACATCTTAACAGTCGTGGTCAAGTTTTCAAAACTAAATTGTTTTTGCTTGGTCATATTATGGCATGAAATTGCATGCCTTCCTGGCCAAGCCTGATATACAGGCTTCAGCCTGTATATCAGGCTTGGCCAGGAAGTGGGAGCAATTTACAGCTCTTGTAAAAGTATAATTTTTTCTATCAAAAGTGTAATTATCATTGTAACTAAAATAAAAAAACACAAAGTCATTTAAAGAAAAAAATTAAATAATTTGATAATAAACTGCGATACTGACTTTGGAATTGCTGACTTTAATTTAATGTTGAATCCATACTGGATTCGGGTATTAGAGATGGCAAAAAAAAAATAGTGGTCTGTGAGATCTGGCTCAACTGAATGAATTTAACAAAAAGTATTGAACTTTAAATACTTATAGTCTATTATACCCTATTATATTTTTATTTGAACTCAATTGTCGTTGTTTTAATTTATTTTAATCTTTGAAAACTAAATTTGGAGGAATTACAAGCTAGAATTGAAAATAGAAATCCTATCCACGCATCATTGCAGTCACAGAAACATGGTTCACTACTACATCCTTAACAAATGTAGGCTATTACACTGTGTACCTTGGAAACAGAACCATTTATGGAGGGGTTGTGGCAATTTATACTAGAAAATATATATTTTTGTTTGAATGCGAGTTCAGTGATAAACAAATGAACAAGTAAATATGGTGTCAGATTTTAGTTGGATATGATATCTTGTTAATAGGTTTCATTTATCGCCAATCGTTCACTCAACGAGTCTAATTTACAAATCAATGAGTCAATCAAGTGTGCTAAAGTTCTAATTGATAATTGGAAATTGTTTACAGTTCCAGTTATTGGTGATTTTAATAATAGTGATATCAGGTGGAGTGATTTGGGTGGACAATATAAAAGTGGTAAACAGTCTAGTCAACTTTTTTAGATACTCTTAATGATAGTTTTCTATCACAGTTTATCACATAACCAACTTTTATCAATAAAATGCTTGACCTAGAACTGATTATACTTATGTTACAATTAATAGACATACAGATGGCAACTTAATATTATTCAAAGACGCATACATTTTTCTGATCAAATAGCATATAAATAAGTTCAATGTGTCTTTTAGTTTGAAGAAGTGTGATCCAAAATGGTTCTATTAAAAATAATTCTATTAAAGCAGCAACTAAAGAAAAGTTTAGTCCATTAATAAAATTACACTGTGCTTCTATTAAATTTAAAGACTATTTCAGTTTTATACAACAAATAAAATCATCTGGTCAAAAAGCTTGTTGGTGATGCAGTACTAAAGTTTGAGAGTGAAGTCATGAAGTCACAAGTCTTTCTTGAAAAAAGTTTACTCTTACTTTTCTCTTACTCTACTGTAAACAGCTAAAATCTTGTAAGAATAATATTCATTATCTCTTTTAGATCACGGTGTAGCAAAATTATTCGATAAGAAGTCTATTGCATACTGCCTAAATAATCAATTATTAAAGCATTTTCTTCACCTGTAACTCACTCTGAATTTTCTAATTTTCGTCGTAGAACCAAAGTTATTTGTTCTCCAGTTTCAAGTTCTTTGTTAAATTAAAAAGCATTTATCTACGCTTGACATTTTGAAAGGCACTGGTGTTAAAAGAAATCATCCTCAAATGCTTAAAACTTGTTCTAAAGGTTTCAGTGTGCCTAATTCATCAAGTCCTTTGAATATAGCGAAGTGCCATTTGGGTGGAAACTTGCTAATAAGACACCCACATTCAAAAAAAGGTTTTTATTTCTATCACCTCTGCGGCTTGGAAAATAATGGAAAGAATAATGCGTGATGTCATGACTGAACACCTAGTGAAACATCACCATTTTGGCATCACCATATAAATCTTCTTGAAGTACTGGATATTGTTACTGAAGCTTTAAGTGATGACTGTGTTGCTTTGTTTATCTTGCTAGACTCTGCTTTATCCCACATTGGCTTGCTATGGGTTTTGCAATAAGATTCTTGATTGGTTCAAGAATTATCTTAACTCTCGAAACAGAGTGTTGCTTTAGGCAATTTTTTCTCTGAATGGATGGAAGTCTTGAGGGATGTCCCTTAAAGATCAGTCATAGCAGCTCTACTATTTTTGCTCTTCATCATTGATATGCCAGAATTATTTAAAACTTGCAGTCTTTTTGCCATTGATAGGACATTTATATATATATATGTATATATATATATATATATATATATATATATATATATATATATATATATATATATATATATATATATATATATATATATATATATATATATATATATATATATCTTCAGTAAAAGCCTTAAAAAATAATGCATTTATTAATTAATTTATATTATTGTTACTTTACATTGAAATAGTGTAATAAGATTGTGCTGATAATACAGATTATAATCTGTATTATCAGCACAATCTTATTACACTATTTCAATGTTAAGTAACAATTATATAAATTAATTAATAAATGCATTATTTTTTAAGGCTTTTACTGAAGATATATATATATATATATATATATATATATATATATATATATATATATATATATATATATATATATATATATATATATATACACAGATATATATATATATATATATATATACACAGATATTTATAGCTAGTTAATAATATTTGTAAATAATATATCTTCTTTATTTTATGTCAAGCAAGATTGCTGAGATTTCAGTTTTTTAAGTTTATGTTATTTAGCAATGTTTTCACTTGATACAAAATTTTTGTAAAGTAATCAAAAACTTATTAACTTTAATCATAAATTTTTAATGTAGCCTAAAAAAGATCGATGGACACTGTGTATGAGATTGTTGATCAAGTTTTGGTGTTGCGAATAGGTAGTTTTGTGCTTGAACTGAATCTTAATCAAGTCTGGCCTGTTCCTGTTTTTTCCTTTGTTTATTTTTTATTTTGGAAAAAGACTGGCTTTATCAATATAAAAACTAAAGCTCTCCAACTATCAGATAAGCCAAATAGTGATGATAAGTTATATGTGGCAAAAGATTTGGTAATTTTTTTTCTTCTGTTTGTTTGGTCATTTTTGTTGTTGTTATATATGGTAGTTTTCCTTAGCTTTTAGAAGTTTGATGATAAGATACAATTCAGTAAGAAATTATGGACTTGGAAAATGCCTCTATCTAAAACTTGAAAAATTGTGCTTTAACTTCAAACTACCTGTAAACACTGATTTTAATAATAAACTTTTTTTTTACTATTTAATTAATAGACTTTTTTAAAGTCTGAACACGTATTAAAAACAATAAAAATTGAGTTATTGATTTACTTTAGTTTGTATTATATATTATATTAAAAAATATTTATTTAAAAAAAGTTTCATATTCAGTATTATAAGTCTTAAAATGCCTGAAATAAAGTCAGTTTTAAAAAATCTTTGTCTCCTCATTACCCTCCTACCCTATCTAATTTGTTTTTAAAAGTCACCTATTCAAAAAAGACTTATTACAAAATTAACTTTGATTAAAGTTCATTAAAATTTCCTATGATGTCAAGATCAGGTTTTCTAAGTTTTGTGAACATAGACCAAATTGGTGTATTCTTGTTAAAGATGCTTCAGATTTCCACTCAGTATGTTTTTGTGAGTACCGCCTGAATGCAAAATTTTATAGCATTAAAAAAACTAAATATTTTGGAATATAAAGACCTTATGACATTGGTTGTATGTGAATTAACAAAATTACAGTTTAATTTAAGTTGCAATACATGGTTTCTATTAAAACAACAGTCAAGCAACATTGTATCCTTTTGTTATTCTCTTTATGGAAGAAAATAAGATAAAATGTAAAAGCAGGTCTTATTATAAGATTTTATTGTGTAACCAAAACACTAACCAATGTAACTTTAACACAGCTTTGATATTTATATCGTTAAAAGTTAAATTGCATCATTAGCGTATTTTAAAGTACTGCGTTGTAATTTTATTTAATTTTAAATCGCATTAAAAATCATTTAAACTAATTTAACAAATATTACTGATGAAATTCGGTATTCGGTATTAGAAAAAAAAAATGGTATTCGGTATTAAAATATTATATATTTAATGTAATATTTTAAATAAAGATGATAAACAGTTTATAGACATACTTTAACAGTTAGCAATATTTCGTAAATGTAATTTTTGTTCATAAATAAATTACATCAAAAGAAATGCAATATTGAATTAATAAGAAACAAAAAAATTTAAACACATTTGTGAAAAAATTCTCTTACTCTAAAACACTTCTCCTTTTTATAAGAAAAAAAGTTTTTTTTTTTTTAACATTTAATCTATGATGGAGAGACTTGATAAAAATTTCTTTAATAAATATTGCAAAACTATTTTACATTCTTTTAAGACTAAATTTGACATTTTTCTTTTTACTATTTTAGATTCCTCCAAAAATAAATTTAAATTTTTATAATCATATCAAATCACATAAAAATGTGAGCTGCGTAATATTTCTTAACAAGGCCTATAAAAGTGTTTGTATCATCTCACACCATATCCAACACAATACAAACTCAGTTCATTGTTTCATTTATGAAGTAATAAAGCATTTAAAATAGTTGATACCTTACTGCAACCATTGCATTTATTTCAGTGCAGGTTTACAATACAATGTTATGTCACCACAAACAAGAGCATGCGGTATCTGCAAAATAGCATTTTATTTGCTATATTACATGGAATAAGAGGTTGTGATGGTGTTGGGAACTCTGTCAAAAGACTAGTTTAAGGATAAGTTTGCAATCTCTAACAGGTTCTAGGCCGAGTGAATGAAAATGAGCAATTGCTTTTTCTCAGTAGTTGATAAGCTTTATGTGAATAAAAACTTCAGAAGATTTGTTTTGTATCTTATCTTAAATATATAGAAGAAAAATCATTAGCAATGATTGCTTATCTTATATTTATTTAAAGTTTTTTTTAATAAAATCTGCATTTGATCAAATATTTTAAACTCCATTTTAGTATATATTTATTGCATTTTTATTAAGACAATTATTTTATAAATATTGTTTTGTTTCATATTACTGTTCTTTATTTGGAAAAATTTTTTTTTCTAGTTTAAAAAGTTTAAAAATCACACTAAAATAGTTCTAAGCAAGAGAACAAGCAATTATAAGGAAAGGCTTTTGTAATTAAACTTGAAGGAATGAGTTCGTTAAGTTTTAAAATTGTTTTTGTGTTGCGTAATTTAAATTTAAACAAATTTTTATAACTGTTTATAAAAAAAAGATTCCATTTAAGTTATTAAATGTGCTTGTAGCTATTATTTTTGCTTTGATTGATAGCTTTAACAACTTTTAAAAAAGTTATTTAAATTTTTATTTTATATTATCAATTAAAAACTTTTTAAAAATAAAAATTTAACCTACGCATACTATTTATTCTAAAAACAAAAAAACTTTTTGTAGTAAAATAGTATATAAAATGCTTCTTAAAGAAGTTAAAGTTCTTTGTTGTTGTTGTTGTTGTTGTTGTTGTTTTTTTAAAGTTTTTTTCATATGCATTTTAATGAAAATCTTTTACTGGTCATTTGAACTTATTGAGTTTATTTAAAAATAATTGTCAATACATCCAATACAATATAAGCATTTAAAAAAATCTTCAATAAACTTTTTTACCTCACAAAAACATATAATGAATAAACAATATTTTGCTTTTTTTATTATTATTGCATAATTATGTAATGCTTATACATGTTAATGTTTTTTACTATTTTTGTTTATGTAAGTAAAATATGGCTCAACCTAAAAAACATTAATAAATTTTGTTGTTAAAAAATATATTTGTATTTTGCATGAGCATTTATTTTGCCTGCGATAAAACTTTAAACTCCATGTTTGCGCTAAAATATGCTACATTTATAGACCAAACGAGTAAGATCAACGTAAAAAAAATTATACACCATGTTTTTTTTAATTTATTGCTTCTTGATCCAGTATACTATTAAAAATATAAAAATTTAAAAAATATTGTTAGTTTTTCCATTTAAATGGTTTTTAAGTTGATATTTTGATTCAATTTTTTTGTTCAAATTGTTTTTAAGTTAATGTTTTCATTCATTTTTTTTTTTAAATTGTTTTTAAGTTAATGTTTACATTCATTTTTTTAATTCAAATTGTTTTACAATAAAAAAGGGAAAAGTTTTTTTCCAAAAAGTTTTATTGCAAAACAGAAGAATTTAAATTTTTATTTAAATTTTTTATAATTTAATTTTTTGGTTTAATGTTTGCAATAATTACTGGTTTAACATTTGCAATAAAATATTTCTATATTTAAAACTATTTTCATGAAACAAAACATATAAGATATAAATAGAAACATTTGTATGGCTAACTTTTGCGAGTCTTTGAGTGCATTAAGTAAATTTAATAATTGAGTAACTTAACTGGTTGTTTTGATTTAGTTTATAGGTAAATTTACTGTGATGTACTTTATCCATTAAGTAAATCAAACTAAGTTTAACATTATAGAAGTAGGATTTTATTGGCTTTCACAAATCTCATTGCAAAAATACTTCTATTTAAAAGATAAATTTAGTGTGACATACTTTATGATCCCTAATTAAAAACTGAGACAAAAGTTTAAACTGAGACAAAAGTTTAAGTCAAAAATTTAACCTGTATATTTTTTTACATTTTTTTTTAATAAAGTTATAAATTTTTTCAGTAAATAATTTTTGAAATATATTTTTTTTTTTATTTAAATTTTTTTTTGGACTATATATTTAAAAAATTAATAAAATGCTAATGAAAAAAATATTAATTATTAGATAAGATAAAGTATTTTTAGTTAAAAAGTTAATTCGAAAAACCAGCAAAAAAGGTTGGATTGCTAAAGAGATAATTCAATATTATCTCTTTCTACAAATAGTGAAGAAAAAATAAAGGTCTTAGTAAGTTGTCCTAACAAAAATTCTTTTTTTTCATTCCATTTTTTTGTCGAAAACAAAAAAATGGAATAGTGTCGCAAATGAATTTAAGTAATAATGTTGAAAACAAAAAAACGAAGTAGTGTAAAAATAAAAAAATGGAATAGTGTATTTAAGTAATAGTGTTTAAGTAATAGTGAATAATAAATAGAATTTAAGTAATAGTGTTGCAAATGAATTTAAGGTAATATCTTTGATTTTCAAATAGTTTAATATTTTTTTGTTTTAAGTTATTAAATAATTTTTGAGGATTTTTTAAGACCTTTTGTTACCCATAGTTAATCTAGACTTTTGTTTGTTTTATAAAAGTAACATTTGGGGAGGTTTTTATCATAAACTTCAAATAAATGTTCCTTAAATAATAAAATATTTGTATTGTTTGTATCATTTGTATAAAGCATTTGATAACAACTTGTTTTTCCTGTAGTATTGAATCTGTATTATTATTTTAGGGGCTCAGTGGAAAGTGGTTTAACCCACATTTTAAAAATTTCTGGATAGGGTCAACCAGGGTAAAATGGGTATAAAATTTAGATAATTTTTGTTTGCAGTTGCACTGGTTGAACTGTACTTAATTTTACTGAATTTTTATTTCAAAAGTTTTACATTTAACCTATTTATGTTTAAAATCAATTTAGAGGGAATATTTTTATTTTACAATTTTTGATATAAGGCCTATACCCATTTTACCCCATAGTATAACCCATTTTATCTCAGGGTGTGGGGTAAAGTGGATATACTATGGGGTAAAATGGGTAAGGGGTTCTGATGGTAAAGTTTATATGTTTTAAATAAAAATAATTAAAAATAACTGTAATAATAATTAAAAATGACTTTTCTGAAATTTTATACAAACTTAAACAAAATTGTTAACTTGAAGCATAGACCTGTGTGCTTCTGACTCCATAATATTTGAAGCTGAAATCATTGGCTGTTGATTGCTTTCCACTGAATTGACAGTTGAAACAATCCTATGTTGAATTGCTTCTTTGTTCGATGGATAGAGCCCACTACCTCTGAATGCACTTACTGCATTTTTCTCCGTTAATTGGTCATAGAGTTGCTTTACTAGGCA